ATTTTAAGAACTAGGATGGAAACTTGCCTTTCTTGTTACCAACTGCCACAAGACACATTATAAAACCAAGGTAATTAAAACAGTGTGACAGTGGCATAAAGACACTGGGACCAGCAGGATGGAACAGAGCGCCCAGAAACTGGGCCATGCATTTATGAGAGCTCTGCACAGGACGGAGCCGGCTTTGTGCTTCAGTGGATTTCATAGACGGTGTGCGGACAAATGATTATCCTATCAGAAAATAATAAAATTAGATCTCTATATCATACACGGAAACCAATTTTAAATGGAAAGCAATTCATTATAAAACAGCATATGCCTAACGATACAAATGCTCGGGCTGACTACACTAGAATACATAATGAAGTATAGCAGTCAGATGCCTGCACCTAAACTTAGCACCACCAGGAACGCAGAAGCTACAGAATGTGAGCTGGTGCAGGTGCACTGGGTGGCAACGCAAATACCACGAGCTGGGCTGCCTTCAGTTATGGGATTTTTCTAGAGTGATGAACAACTCTTGTTCAAGTTCCAAACCACAAATAAGAATAATTTCCCCTTGATTTACATTGGAGTTGCATTCCTGGAAATTTTAACTATATTCAACTGTGCCAAAAATGACATTATGTTTATACAAAAAAATAAAGTTAGATTCTAGGTTCAGATTATAACTGAGTGTCCTGTGGGACACAGAAGTTTGTACAGGGTGCAGGACACCTCGTCACTGTGAGGGGCTGTCCCTGCACCACAGAACACCTGCCGTCTCCAGCCCTGCTCTGCAGACCCCGAAAGATGCCCTCATAAATTCCAAAATGACGAAGGGGCAGTACCAACCCCTTGGAAAACCACTGCTCTAGAAAAACTCTTGCACAAAGAGATATGGACAAGGAGGTCAGTTTATAATAGCAAAACACCTGGAAAAACCTAAATGTCCATCAAGAAGAGAATGGATGCAATATTACCTACTCACAATGATCACAAAATGAACAAACTCAGTCTATCTGTACTGATACAAATACACCTCAGAAATAATGTTGAGTGACAAAAGCAAGTTGTAAAATGAAGGCCATAGTATAATAATACTTGTATTTTTAAAATTTACAAACACTTCCTCCTGGCTGGCGTAGCTCAGTGGATTGAGCGAGGGCTTCGAACCAAAGTGTTGCAGGTTCGATTCCCAGTCAGGCCACATACCTGGGTTGCAGGCCATAGGCCCCAGCAACTGCAGATTGATGTTTCTCTCTCTCTCTCTCTTTCTCCCTCCCTTCCCTCTCTAAAAATAAGTAAATAAAATCTTTAAAAAATTTACAAACACCTAATAGAAATATATATTGTTTATGATGTATATATACACAAACATAGGCATGAGTAATGCATAGCAATTTCAGAAGAGTGTTTGCCTCCGGGTGGGCGAAAGGAAGGGGTATGCGGTCAGGAAGGAGATCAAAAGGGATCTGAACTAAATCTGTAACATTTGATTAAAAAAAAACACAACCTTGAACAGATGTGCCAAAATGTTAATGTTTGTTAATCTAGTTTATAGGGCATAGGCATTTTTTTATACTTGTCAGTATAATATTTACTATTTTTGTAATTTTCGGTTAATTTTTAAAAAGGTAACTGGTGGCAAGATACATATGAATTGAGATCACAGCAAAAGAAACCATCGATGCAACGAAAAGACAACCCACAGAATGGGAGAATGTATTTGCCAATGATATATCTGATAAGGGCTTAGTATCCAAAATTTGTAAAGAACTCATGCAACTCACCATGAAAGAAATTCAACTAAAAAATGGACAAAGAACCTGAATAGACATTTCTCCAAAGAGGGCATACAGATGGCCAACAGACTTATGAAAAAATGCTCAATGTCACTAATCATCAGAGAGATGCAAATTAAAACTACAGTGAGCTATCACCTCACACCTATCAGGATGGCTGTCATCAGTAAATCAACAAACAAGTGCTGGTGAGGATGTGAGAAAAGGGGACCCTTGTGCACTGTTGGTGGGAATGCAGCTTGGTGCAGCCACTGTGGAAAACAGTATGGAGCTAACCAAAAAAATTAAACATGGAACTGCCTTATGACCCAGCGATTCCACTTCTGGATATATATTCGAAGAAACCCAAAATGCTAACTTGATAGAATACATATACGCACCCCTGTGTTCACTGCAGTGTTATTTATTCCAAGCTCTGGAAGCAGCCCATCAATGGACAAGTGGATAAAAAAAGTGATGGTGCATATATGCAATGAAACATTATTTGGCCATAAAAAGAACAAAATCTTACCATTTGCAACAGCATAAATGGACCTAGAGGGTATTATGCTAAGTGAGATAAGCGAGTCAGAGAAAGACAAATAACATATGGTTTCACTTATATGTGGAATCTAAAGAACAATATAAACAAACAAATAAAACAGAAACAGACTCATAGATACAAAGATCAGAATGATGGTTGCCAGAGGGGACAGGGGTTGGGGGACTTGGTGAAAAAAGGTGAAGGGTTTAAGAAGTGCAGACCGGCAGTTACAAAACAGTTCCCCGGATGTGGGTGCAGCACAGGGGGTCCGGTCAATAACACTGCGGGAGCTGGGGGTGGGGCCAGTAGGCACTGGAAATGTCGGGGTGGGGGGGGCAATTTGTAAAATACAGGACCGTCTGACCGCTATGCTGTACACCTGAAAGTAATACAGGAGAATATTGAGTGTAAACTGTAATTGAATAAAATTTTTTGAATTTAAAAAAAAAGAGAATGATACAGGTTTCCTGCTTGGTTGATGGAGCTGATAGTACGGCCTTAACAAGACAGCTAGTTTAGTCTAATTGCTGCTGTTTGGGATGTTACACAAATAACCTGTAATACTGGGACTGACTCTAGCACCTGGAATGCAAGGCAAAGTGTTGAAGCTGGTCATTAGAAATACTGCCCATCAGTCCTCCACAGAAACTTAAAACTTGGTGAGACATTAGGTTCAGTATATGGTCTGGCTTTAATGTAATGAGATAAATATCCCCAAGCTCTCATAAGAATGAACTTCAACACCTTAGAACCGAACCGTAAGAGTGAGAAGGAAGGGCTGGGTACAGTATAGAGTGCTACTGTGGGGAAGGAGCAAACGCCCAGTGATTTCATCTTGTGAATTCAGTGTGATTGTAATGTTAATAATACTCCTATTATTTCCCCGTCCTGGAATAGCTCAATTATTGAGTAAGTTTTGATTAAAAAAATAAAAACACCAGTGTCGTTATGCAACGTCCAGGGCTTCTTTGAACCTTCCCTGAGAACTGATGGTTTAAACAACCTGGTTTCCAGAGTAAGTCCATTTACTGAATGTCTGTGGCATTTAAAACAGGTAGATTGGAGTTGGAACAAAATAATCTAAACCTCGACACCCTCTTCAGTAGCTGACAGGAAGAGCAAATAAGGGGCCAATGTTTCCTCCCTGTGCTCACGCTGTGAGGTCTTTCCTTAGAAGAGTTTATCCCAAACTTCTCTGTCCTGCATTCTTCAGGTAACAGTCGCTCCTGCGGCCCTTTCACCCAGCTCCGGGGAAAACTGGGAGTGGCCGCAGCGCATCAAGGAGCGCCTTTCAGCCTTTGTCATGTCCCGCAAACTTAAACTAATTACTACAATTCTGCGGCACACCCAAAAAAATCTTTTTTTTTTTTTTGCTGATGTGCCAGGAAAAGGTATAATTTTTATGCATTCACACTGGATGGCTATTGTTGTGTCGGCTGCTGTCATTTATTTGTCATTCTAAGGAAAAAGAGGTCAGGGCCCCTGACTGAACAGTCCGGTAATGCCTGTTTTAAAAATTCTTGCGGCACGCCGGCTGCAAGTCGCTGCGTTAGGCAGACCGGCCCCTGCACACGTGTACCCGGCCTGCTGGATGGAAGACGCACTGCTCACCATCGTTCACGCGCGAGAACGCTAAAGGCCGTCCGTTACACGACGACTTACCGCCGGTACAAACGCGGACTTGAAGGAGGGGGAGGCGGCCCTAGTGTCGCTGGGGCGGGGTGGGGGGTGGGGGAGAACAGATGTCTCACCCACTCCCTGACTTTCAAACGCCAGCCCGCGGAGGCAGCAGAAACCAGTGGGTTAGGACGCTGAAGTGCCTTCTGGAGAATTCCTTTTCGTTTTCCGCTGTAGCTGTTCCAAACCTTCCAAAATAATTGGCGGCGCGGGGAGGGGGCTTGACACTTTATTTTTCTACTTTAAACACTTCATTGTGGTTTGAATTTTAAAACAGTAGGATAATGCCTTTTCTACCTTTGTAACTAAATAGAATGCAAGTCGTGGAGGGTAGGGAGGGAAACCAACGGTCAAGCCACCTAAATGCCCTCGGCGTGGCACCATCTCTTAACGAACTCACAGAAAAGGGGATCCGTGGATGCAGACCACGTCTCCCCGTCCCCTCTCCTGGGCAGTGCTGGCATGTGGCCGTCAGTGCCAGGCGATCCTTGTCGGTCACCGCATCGCCCAGGCCCAGGTCCGGGCCCTCAGGGCTGCGGAGTGGGCATGCCACTCTCTGGGACTCTGGCCTCTCCCAGGGCCTGTGCTGACTCCGCCCGGCCACAGGAGAACACTGCCCGGGTCTCACCTCCCTCCCTCCCCGGGTCCCAACTCTCCGCCCCACCCCCACCTCCCGTGTCACTTTCACAAAGTTCACTCGCTATCCCCGGAATCTGGGATAGAGACTAAGGTTTTGGGTCGTAAGATATTGACTCAGTCGCTAACATTTCACTTTCTTAGATGGATGAGAAATAAAACATTCCTTCCTTCTCGGCTCGAAATTATGTATTTACTGGCCCGCGGGTCTCGGGTCTGGAAGGGTACTCCAGGATGGTCTTAGGACCAGTGCCCCGCCTCCCGCCCCGCCTCTTCCAGCCTCATCCGGCCGATCTCCCTCGGGCCGAGCTCCCTCGCGCCCAGAATCCGACGTTCTCCCCTCCGCCGTCCTCTCCTCTGCAAGAGGCCCCACTCCTCACCTTCGCCCTTCCCGGGACCCCCTCCGGGGTGCCTACTCACACCTCGCGGTCCGGCTGGTTCCAGCCCACCAGGGCTTTGGTCTACTAGAACGAATCACAAGTGGGCTTTCATCCAGGCGGTTTTAGATCCGCTAATCAGCGTCGCTCTTTTAACCGCCAGTTTACCCTTATTTGCCTACGCCCACCGCGGCTCCAGGCAACGCTTTAACCGCACCTCATTACGGCCTCCGATTGGTCAGAGCCCGTAGGTCGGTTTCGCGCACGCCCCGCCCGTTGTCAATCACACCATCCCCTAGGTAACCGCAGGTTCATTGGTCAGTCTAACCTGAGGGCGGGCTGTCGGACGGAAGACAGCTGGTTTCCGGATCTCCCTGTGGAGACAGCTGAGCCCTACCGGGATGCACGCGGTCTGGGCAACCCCTTTCCCGTGTGGTGGATACGTAAAGCAGTCTGGACATTAGTGCCCGTTCTGGGGTCTGATGGGCATCTCACACCCTGACCCACTGGCGCCGGTGGGCAAATCAGACTCGGTGTTGAAGGTGGGGGCCCGGTCATTCAGGGTCCTTAACAGTGTTCCGGGAGAGAACCGAGTACGAAGCACTAATTGTGATAACATCACATTTTCAGTAATCCTTACCTCGCCTTATTATATGTGACCTTCTTCCGATATCCTCATGGCATAGACTGTGGCAAGGATCATTCTACTCACAGGACAGAACTGGGAAGAGGCCAGGGTCAATAAAGTGAATCTTCTCCAGCCACACCTCCAGGCATCTGTAACTGGAGCTGACCCATGCTTTTAGCAAATTGCTCTTACCTAACTGCAAACTAAAACTTGCCATGATTTTGTTCTGGTTCTGTAGCCTGTTAGACCAAAAGATTCCTAAACCAGGCTTACCAAAGGAAATAGGACAGAGGATGCATGCTGTATTGCTGGACCAGGAAAGGAAAACAAAAATCAAAACAGTACCATATCTGAGAACTGCAGTATTTGAACCTCTGACTTTAAACAACATTCTGAAACATCATGAAGCAAACGATTCAATCCTGGGGCACTGAATCTTTGATTTAGGGAATCCAGTGCTGAATCATAGCTTTATGGATGAAATGGAAGAAGATGGTTGAACTTCATTGAATGTACGTCTCAAATTTATTCTATTTTCAAGGTTTCATTTACAGTGATATGTACTAACCAACGATTTCTTAGGTATTTAACAACTTGATCTTACTTAGACCAGTGAGGAGCTGCGTGGTTAAGAAAGCCATTATTTTGATTAATTCATTTCATTGGAATTTAGTGTTAATTGTAGCTAGGCTCTGGCAGGGACTGTGAGGATACAAAAGAAATACAGTGTGACTACTGGCTTAATAGCCTGTGGTTTGCTAATGTCGATAGCATTTGAAACAGGAAATACTTTAAAGCAAGCTATAACAATGGGCCAAATTTATAGTCAATTGCCCCAAAAGATTATAATAATACAGTACTTCATATTTTCAGAGCATTGTGTAGTTTTCAGAGCATCTTCACTTGTATTATTTGGGGGAAATATTGTTTTGGCTGAAGCTAATGTGAGCCTTCATGGTGTAGCTAGAACTAGTGCTGAGCCCTGGCATATGGGCAGTAATGGAAAAGGTGGGGCAGAGGCAGAAGGGAATCCAAGGAGAGAAAATAGTTGGAGAGGCTGAGACACGAATAAGCACTGAGTATCTGGGGAATAATGGGGAAACTAGTCTCAGCCAGAGTGGAGACAGGTAATGGAAAATAACATTTTGCAGGCCAGCTGGTTAAGACCAGTTTTGAGGCCTTAATGTTTTGGGGAAAAGTGTTCAATGTTTGAGTTTGGGAAGGTTCTATTTCTCACACTTCTAATGATCAAAGTGACTCAGTAAGTTATAAATTAAGAATCGGGTCTGCGTGAGGAGATATATTGGACTTCTTGTATCTCCCAGGCTGGATATAACATTTTAGGTTTCCTCTCTCATAAGAAGGAACTCTGCCCCCAAACCCCACCTCTGTCTCACTCCTTAACTGGGAAGCAGTGTTAGTCTTCTGATTAAATAATGGTAGTCTACCCTCTTAGTGAAATGGAAAGAAATACTGTCACCATAGCACTCATTTTTGCCATCTCTTAATCAAAGTTCACTTTAAAAAAGACTGATCACTTGACTATCCTGTCTTTCTCTTTTTAAAAATTGTCTTCTGTACACCGTTCTACACTGTGCCTCTCCACATTGCTCCATATATGTATGGAGCATATATATATATATATATATATATATATATATATATATGGCACGTATATGTGTATATATCTATATCTGTGTGTGTGCGCATATATATATATATAATCACTCATAGTATACTTGTTCAGTGCACATCATTTTGTTTATTACAATTTTCTTTTCTCCTACACAAAGAAAAAAGTCCAGGCAACAACAATAATACATACCAAGGTCTAATTTCCTCTTTCTCAACTGTGTGTTGTGCTGCCAGATAGAGAGGTAGGGTAAGGAGAAAAAAAGAGGTTATTAGGGTCATGGAGTAAAAGATATGAATCCAGAGAAGACAAAATTTTCTGGTTGATTTTATGGTTATCAAAACATTTTCTGACAGAGAGCCCTGCATTTTTTGCTTACATTTTCTTATGTGTGATTATTTTAACGTTTCTGTAGGCATGTTCTGAAAATGTACCTAAAACTTCAGTAATTGTTGGTATTTGGCTGGGACTCAAATGCTACCGTTGTTCTATTCTGCTAAATTGGGAAACTGGGTCAACAAAAAATTTCCCCCCGTTGTATTGTCAGTAGTTACGGAACTTCCAAGGCCACCCAAATTACCGCCATGATTTTCTAGATTGCAATGCAGTGGTACCTCTGTACTTGTTGGCTTCGGAACTCATCAAACCTGGCACTTGTCGTGTTTTGATGAGAAAAAAAGTGTTTCAGCCCCCAGCCCTTGCTTGCCACCGTCACACTTGCTAGAACTTGTATGAGTCACGAGGCCACCCTGAAAGAGAAAATGCCTCACTAATCGTGACTTGCTCACCACTCATCGGAACGAAGTAACGGCAAACAGTGGGGTGCCACTGTGATTACTTCATGCGGGTGGTGGCACACTGTGGCCCGTGGACCCAGTCTGGCCTGCTGTCTATTTTATGTATGCCCTGCAGGCTAAGGATGAGTTTTACATTTTTAAATGTTTGGGGGGGGAATCAAAAGAAAAACATGAAACCCAATGTCAGTGTCCTTCCGTCAATGAAGCGCAGGCATGCTGGTTCATTTATGTGTTGTCTGTGGGCCACTTTCACTTTACAGCAGCAGAGTGGAGGAGTTGACACAGAGACTGTATGGCACATAGGCCTGAAATACTTACTGTTGGGCCCTTAAGAGAAAGCTCTGAGCCTTACTGTCTCCGAGGTCACTCATGAATCAGATCCCATGGAATGTTGCCACTGAAAAAGACTTTGGAAATCATGCAGTGTTCATTTTTTAAAATCTCCCATTGAGAGAGACAAGTTACTTCTTGCCTAAAGTCACATAGTCAATGGTAGTGGACTCCTGATTCCGTCGGCTCAAGGGTAGTTTCATATATGCTGTGTCTTACTCAGGGTGGGGTAGGAGCTTTGTAGTCCGAGGCAAGGAGGTTCAGCACTCTGCTAACTTTGGTCTCGTCTCCTCCAGACAAATGCAGTGCGCTGTCATCAGTTGATGGGTACTTGGAGTTTCACTGTTTCAGCCAATAGGAGTCAGCTTCTGTTTTCTATGTTTCTCATTTCTCAAAAGGTGAACGGCCATCATGAAAAACTTTCTCACTTTTATGCTCTTTTTCTCTTTTACAAAACCTCTGTCCTGCAGCAAAGGAGTGCACAAGTGGTTGACTTTCTGTTCCAGTTTAAGGTTCTTAAGGGAGGTGAGGACGGTTAGAAAGGCACAGAATGCAGTTCTGACTCGAGTGCATGGATGGCCCACCTGTGTGGACAGGGGATAGGGAGTGTCCATACCCCCCACCCCTCCCCCTCTTGCTCCCCTTAAGGTTTAGTCTGTATTACTCATACATATGCTGGCTTTTCTGGGGAGAGTGTCCATGGTGTTCCTAAGATTTTTAAGAGCCCTCGACCCCAAGATTTGGAACTACAGGTACATAAAAGATGTGTTTGGGGAAGAGTGCTGCTCGGAGGTGTGCCAGGGAGACTGATGTAGGTTCTCAGGTAAGACCTCAGCTGATAGAGGGAAGAGCTCTCTGCCCACTCACATCAGCCCACACAAGTTTTTTTTTTATCTTCTCTGCCACTCAAAAAGGTGATAAAAATTCATCAGATTCACAAAGCGGTTGAACTCAGATGGTGATGAAATCCCAGTATAATTCTCACCAAAGAGTGTCCCGATTAATAGAAACTGCAGAGGAACTAATTTTAGGAAAATAGCAAACGGGATTGTTTTAGCTGAAGCAAGCTGGGAGAGTGGGTGCTGCAGCAAACAGCCCATTGTGCGGTGCTGACAGCTCCAATCTGGCCGTTTCCTTATTAAATGTCTTTCCGTTGCACATTGTGAAGCCTGGGTTCGGGAGGTGAGGAAGCAGACAGAATAAGACAACAGAATGGGAAGCAACCTGGACAGCTCCCTTCAGCGTTATTGCGGCTTTGTCTCCCGAAAACTTCTCCTCCCCTGGTTGGGAGAAAGGGGATGAATCCCATCTTCATGAAGCTCAGAAATGGACAAGACAAGTAACATGCTTTTGATTTTAAATTATTTGCCTTTTCTTACAAATCAAAGTGTTCTCCAGAGAAAATTTAACCAGTTGGCTCAATAAGTGGGAGTCAGAGCTTTTGTGTAGTCTCTGAAAGCACTGTTGTGCCCAAACAAGGAAGAATTTGGTCTGCTTTCACAAGTACCGAATGAGCTGTTTTAGGATACTCAGTCACCAGAAGATTGGGGTCATTCGGCTTGTTTGGTAGATGGAAAGGTCTTTTGTGCTGGGAAGGAGTTCTAAGACTTCCTTCCTCCCTCCCTTCCTTCCTTTCTTCCCCCCTTCCTTCTTTCCTTACCCACTTCCTTCCTTCTTTCCCTCCTTCCTTCCTTCCCTCCTTCCCTTCTTCCTTCCTTCCTCACCAGAGGATATGCTTTCATGGATTTTAGATAGAGAA